GAGGAGGAGGAGGAGGAGGAGGAGGAAGGAGGAGGAGGAGGAGGAGGTAGGAGGAGAGAGAGAGGGAGGAGGAGGAGGAGGAGGAGGAGGAGGAGAGGAGGAGGAGGAGGAGGAGGAGAGGGGGAGGAAGAGGAGGAGGAGGAGGAGGAGGAGGAGGAGAGAGGAGGAGGAGGAGGAGGAGGGAACAGGGGGAGGAGCAGGAGGAGGAGGAGGAGGAGGAGAGGAGGAGGAGGAGGAGAAGGAGAAGGGGGGGGGGGACGAGGGGGAGGAGAGATGGAGGAGGAGGAGAGGAGGAGGAGGAGGAGGGGGAAGGAGAAGTTGGAGGAGGAGGAGGAGGAAGAGGAGGAGGAGGAGGAGGAGGAAGAAGAGGAGGAAGAGGAGGAGGAGGAGGAGGAGGAGGAGAAGGAGGAGGAGGAGGAGGAGTAGCAGGAGGAGGAGCAGGGGGAGGAGGAGGAGGAGGAAGAGGAGGAGGAGCAGGAGGAGGTGGAGGAGGAGGAGGAGGACGAGGAAGAGGAGGAGGAAGAAGGGGGGCCGTTAGGGTGCTTGGAAGCCTCCCGAGACACCGCCGTTCTCCGTTTCTCATGGTAAGTATGGTGCATGTTTGGGACTTGGTGCGCAAGTTCCTGCGACGTCAAGGGGTAAGCACCAAAGATGTTTGTGCATGTCCGTGCGTCACCAGGTGGCAGCGTTGTCGCGATGTTACGCATCCGCATCACAAATTGCCCAAATCGTGTGAACTTTGCCTCTTTTGGCCCCTTCAGTCGTGCTACGCCGAGCACCCGGTACACCACCACGTTCAGGCGGAGCGTTTCCGGAACGTGGTGCCGAAGGTTTGTGTTCCTACGACTTGGGACGGTCCCTGCTGGTGGCCTGTCTGGCTCCCGAATGGCTGGCCCCTGAAGTGCGCGACACTCCTCTGCTGTTTCGGGGGCCCCAGGTCAGGCTCAGTTTGGGAGGCTCGGAAATGTGCACAACACCAAAACAAGGGGGGGCGCCCACATTGGTGAGGATGTTCCTAGAATTCGGTGGTGGTGTAATTTTTCGGCCACCTAGAAAGCCCGTTGGGGAAACCAAATGCACCGATACCGCTACTCCCCAGACTTACCCCAGGGTGCGTTCTGACCTGACTTTCGAGGCGAATCCAGCGGCGGCGGCGAGAGCCTCTCAGGAGGCCCAACAAGGCGAAAACGGGACCGAGGGTAGTCGAATGGGTACCTTCTCCTCTGAAGAGACTCGGGACGGTCGCTGCTGGTGGCCTGAAGGGCTGGCCCATGAAGTGCGCGATGGTCCTCTGCCGTGTCTGAAGGTCTCCTAGATGGGGTCCGAATAGATGAGGTTGGAGGGAGGATCGCGCCGCATCGCCGGTAAATCGGCGATGCGCCGGCCACGCGTCGCGTTCCTTTGGCGATGCATCGGCGACGTCGGCGGTGCATCGGCGACGCTGGCGCAGAGAAAATTGGGCTCCACATCGAGCCGCATCGGCGACCCCATCTACTCCGACCCCATCTGGGGGGCCTGGAGTTTCGGGGCCCCAGGTCACGCAGGAGGAGGAGTAGAAAGAGGAGGAGGAGGAGGACGAGGAGGAGTTGACTCCTGAGGGGCTGGCCCCTGAAGTGCGCGATGTTTAACATCCTTGGGCTATCGTCAGAACAATAACTCTTGCGCGTAGCCGACGCGCGACGGAAGAGCCCAAGGGGCCGAAAGAGAGCGAAGGACGGACACAGGAACCGCAGACAACGAGCCGAGTGGCACGACCGAAAGAACGGGGCCACGAAACAGCGATGGTTCGAAACTACAAAGTGATGCTGGGAAAACCTGAAGGGATTGGTAGCCCCCGTCCTGGTTCCTCGGAGGTCTTTGCCTCACCTCCCCTCGCGCATCTGCAGGCCTAAACAACCCTCCTCCCAAGCGGCAGCAGAGCTCTTTCTCTCTTTGCGAGCCTGGGCGGGGAAGAAAGGCAAATCGGAGCTGCATGAGGTTTCCCAAACGCAAGCGGAACGGGTGCTTGCTTCCATTGCGCCTCAATGCTTGGGAAGCCTCGCAGTCAGACAGCATCATGGACGGGAAAAACTGAAGATGTCGCCCCAGGTCGTGCCCGGCTACGCCCCGCGGGGGCGCCCGGCCCCCGGGCGCGCAGCGTGCCACCACCAGCGAGGAGGCGGCGGCCGCTGCCGCGCCGGGGGCGAGGGCAGGGCGAAGGGCAGCGGAGGGCGCCACCGAGACTGCAGTCAGAGCTCGACCACAAGAAGCCATCCGCAAGAAATCCAACCCTGAGATCCCAGGACGTCCATCGATTTTTGGCGTGTGAGCGTCACGCTTTCCACACCAAAGCCATCGAAACCCAAGAAATCCGGGGCACCCTGGAGGCAAGCAGGGTGTTTCTTGGCATGGGCCTCCACTGTGGAACGCGGAGCATGTGTTTTATGTCGCAAAGCGGCAGAGGCAATCCGCACGCGCGTCCAGGCGAGACCTTGGGCACGGAATCGCGAATGAACCCGCACGAACGGGGAAGGGCGAAAGGCAGCGGAGGGTGCCACCAAGACCACGTACCAGAACGCGGAGGACAGGCCAAACACGGAAAACTCAGACGGGCAAACGTTCGTCTGGGACGCCCTTGACAGGGCGACGGATACGAATTCCAAGTTCGAGAGGCGTGGAATGCAGCGTGAGGCCGAGGAGCAAGAGGAGTCCATGATGAAACAGGTGGCAAAACATGCAAAAGTGACTGTGAAACGGATTCTCGGACTGAGCAGCAGCAGCAGGAGGAAGCATACGGGGAAAGCGAAGTCCGAGAGCAGGCCGAAGACGTTCAAGTTCATGAAGTTCGTTGTGCGCCAGCTCTGGCGCCAAGAAACTGGCGAGAGCGGCACGTCGACGTCCAAGGAGAGCAAAAGTTCAGAATCGAGCTCATGAAATATCAAGGCGATTGGCAAAAAACTCAAGAAGAGAAGCAGGATGGAGAAGGAGCGCAAGGAACGTGAGATGCCGGAGGCCCTGACCTCTGGTGGTAGCAGCTCCAAGGGCTCGAAGTCCGTGGACGCCGAGGCCTAGCCGACCCCAGCGGAAAGTAAGTGTCAACTGCAGCTCCAGGAAGACGTCTCCCCCCGCCGCCCGACGATCACGTGAAGAAAGAACCCGGACGAGCTCCGTGCCCGGACGCCGATGTTTCCGCATGGTCGTCAGAGCGCGAGGGGTGGATCGACCAGCTCGTGGCGCGGGAGTGCGTTCCCGTCTCCCACTTGAATACCGCTGTGGGGGCGAACGGTAAGCCCACCTTTAGGAACGGAGGAAAACAAAGTGGGAACGGAGAAGAACAAAGGGAGCAATAGGGTTAGCATAGGACCGATCACCCACTAGCTGCTTCGACGAACGATGATGTTCGTCGAGGCTGCTGTCCGCTTTGTTCGCGTCTTGGCGCAAATTCCGCTTGCCCTATGCGCAGAGACCTTACTGACTGCAGTGGAGCGTGGAACTCCGCTGTGAGAACCCCTGGGTGCCATGCTGGCGCTCTTCTTCTCAGGATGGCTGCGCACCAAATGACTCCTACTAGCTTATGGGGTCGACTCAACAGCGTCTGTAGAAAACGCAACCCAACAATTATACGCAGCTGTTGTGTCAGACCTTCAACCGCCGGTAGAGGCTGAGGTGGTTTTGGATTACAGCATTTTCAGTGGGATCCATAATAGTCTTCCAGGGGCCATTCTCCGCGTGTTTGGTTTCCTTGTGCTTTGCGTCCGATGCATTCCCACATGCTTTTGGCTATTTGTGATGTCGCCGCCATTGGTCATTGCAGCAGTCGTGACGATCGTGGGTTCGTCATCTGACTAGAAGTGTCGAGTACGGAAGGGGCCTAACGTACCACCGAGCCTTTTCCCCAAGGGGCCCGACAAACCGCGACATCACCAGTGACCCGTGGTCTACGGAAAACGAGCGTCCCTCGGAGGATGACCCGTGTAAACCCAAGAGTCATCAACGATGTTGGAATAAACCCTCCCTCCAAGCTCCCTCTTCATAGGCCCCTACAACGGTTCGTTTCCACTGAGGGACCTGCCTCGTTGGGAGACAACCGTTTGAAGACTCTGAAGCATGCCTAAACATCATTCTTGCGACCCCAACGCCGCGGGTCAACCTGACTGCTGCGTCTAGACGATCCTGAATCGCGCCCGAACGCCATTTCTGGGACTTCAACACCGCGAAGCAACGTAACTGTTGCACCCTCATAATCCCGAACGTTTTCCAAACTACCATTTCTGGTAAGCTGATGATGGAAACCCGTGGCACTCTTGCACATGTTTTTATATAACAAACAATGTGCGCGGCGCGAAGGCAAGGGTCACATTTTGGAAAGGAACCACCAACAAACCCAAATGTCTAAAAAAACGAATGTGCGCGGCGCCGAAGCGAGAGCCACATTTTGAAAACGGCCCGCCCTCAATCCGTGAAGCTCTGACACATGTTTAAAACGAATCCGCGCGGCGTTGAGGCGAGAACCACATGTTCAAAACGGCCCGCCCTCAACCCGTGAAACTTTTCCAAACGTTTAAAACAGAATGCCCGCGGCGCTAAGGGGAGAGCCAAAATTTAAAAACCACCCGCCCTCCGTCTGTGAAACTGTTGCCAATGATTAAGCTTCAGGGTCATTAGTGGTGAGGCAGTCGCAGGCGAAACGCCCGGCTCGTCCAAAAAAATGGCTTCGGAGTGCAACGGGGAGAAATTAGTTTCAAGAACAAGAAATGGGTGAGGAGGAGGAGGAGGAGGAGGAGCAGGAGGAGCAGGAGGAAGAGGAGGGGGGATGATGATAATGATGATGATAATGATGATGCTGATGCTGATGCTGATGCTGATGCTGATGATGCTGATGATGATGATCTTGATGATGATGACGACGATGATGGTGATGATGATGCTGCTGATGATGACGATGCTGCTGATGATGATGATGATGAGAAGGAGGAGGAGGAGGAGGAGGAAGCCCTCCTCCTGTTCTTGCCCGCCCGCGCGCCCGCGAAGGTGCGCTCCAGCGCTGCGGGGTCTACGGGGCGCAAGCCCGTGGCGTGGGGACCCCTGGGGCCCTGCGCCACCGCGAAGCAGACGGCCGCCCCGACCTGCAGGGGCTGGCCCTCGAGGTCTGACCTTGGGGGGGGGGGGGCGCTATTCAGCGAGCGAGCCTCCTCGATCCTCGATCCTCCTCCTGGATCCTCGCTCCTCCCCGATCCTCCTCGATCCTCCTCGATCCTCCTCGATCCTCGCTGCTCCTCGATCCTCCTCTTCGGGCCTCCCTGCCCTCCGATCCTCGGCCATCGATTCTCCTCGATCCTCGATCCTCCTCCTCGATGCTCCTCGACCTCGAGCCTCGTCGATCGTCGAGCCGAGGATCCTCGAGGAGGAGGATCGAGGATCGAGCCTCGTCGATCGTCGAGCCGAGGATCCTCGACCCTCCTCCTCGAGCCTCGTCGATCGTCGAGCCTCCTCGGCCCTGGGCCCCTCGGCGCGCGGCGCGGAGACCGCGGCCGACCCGCCCACTTCCTTCCACCTCCCACCTCCTTCCCCTCCCTCCTCCTCCCTCCCTCCTCCCTCATACCTCCTCCTCCTCCTCCCCTCCTCCTCCTCCGCCCACCTCCTCCTCCTCCTCCCACCTCCTCCTCCTCCTCCCACCTCCTCCTCCTCCTCCTCATTCCTCCTCATTCCTCTTTCTCCCCCCCCCCCCGCACAGCAAAGTGAGGAGGGAGGGGCCCAAAACTGCGAGCCCGTGACTTTTGTTCACAGCGTGGACGCCTGGAGGTGTGGACCTGGACCGGCTTCTCATCCTGAGTACTGTCGGACCTAGGACATAATAACGTCCGTCAGGAACATGAGACCCTCCGCCGGCCAAACTGAAGAACATTCGAGGGTACCCTCCCCCAGGATGCACTGAAGAACATTCGAGGGTACCCTCCGATGCACGAGAGGACTCAACAAACGAAGAACATTAGGGTACCCTCCCCGAGCCGACGTAGATCTGATACCTCGGTGCGACCGTAGTTTTTCGGTGGTCCTGGGGCCAGGTGAGGGCCCCCGGAGACCAGCAGCGTGAAAAACTGGTCCGTCGTGAGCTTTCCATGGCGTGAGGAGGTGGGAGGGCACTGCCGAGATTGCAAGGCTCGGCCAAAGTCGTTCGGCTTGAATCGAGGACTCGGGCGGCGGCACAAGCGGTGCCGACCAAAGGGCATAGAGCCGCCCGCCCGAGTCGCCACGTGCCGCGGACTGCTGTTCGCGCTCTGGACTGCGTCGAGGAGGAGGAGGAGGAGGAGGAGGAGGAGGAGGAGGAGGAGGAGGAGGAGGAGGAGGAGGGAGGAGGAGGAGGGAGGATCGGGTCGGGCGAAAGGGGGGGATAGCAAAGGGGGGGTTTGAGAATCAGCTCACGTAGCTAATTTTCCCGGCGCCTCCCGGCGCCGGAGGCGGCTATGTATCGAGGAATGGGCCCCTCGGTGGGGCCGAAACCAGCTGCATGCAGCAGATTTCGTAACCCCCCCTTTCCCAAACCCCCCTTTTCGCCCGACCCGAGAGGAGGCAGGAGGAGACCTCATGACGAACATGTCTCTCCCGTATATCTTCTGAGTGGCTGCGCAGGCCACGTGGCCCCAGCCCTTCTCCTCGTTCACCTGCTTGAGCACGCCGAAGAACACCTGGGCCGAAGCGCCGGGCGGCTCAGAGACAGGGAGGACGGCGAGGAAAAGTCGAGTGGGGGATGGACTACAGCATTGAGGTACCCCAGAGTTCACCTTCCCGCCGAATCTGCGGATATGTATATATATACATATACATACATCTATCATGTCCCGCAGATCTACGAACATCCTACGTGATTTTCCAAACTCGGCGGGGAGAACAAGTCTGGAGTAAATAAATTCTGTAGTTGGTCCGCTATTCCAAGAACGAGGAAACGGCGTTGGAGGAGGATGACCCCGACCTCCTCTCGTCGTGGGGACATACGTTGGCGGCGAGCCCTGGGAGGAACTGAGAAGGGGCGGGCCTTCTCAGAAGGCTCGGAGGTTCCCCGGCCTGCTGACCGGCTCTTTTAAGCCTTCCCCGAAGGCACAGGAAACCCCTGAAAAGGTGCGAGGACTGCTGAGAAGCCCCGCCACCTGCTGAGAGGGCGTTCTCCTTCTCACTTCGCCCCCTCACTCGCAGGGCCTTCTCCTTCTCACTTCCCCACCCCGCTCGCCGCCGAGTGAGGGTAAAAGAAAACCACGACGAGCACTTCCGTGCCGCTCTTCGGCCTCCGGGGGCCCTCACTGGGCCTCGGCGCGGTAACACATATATGCTCCAAAGGAAAGACCGGTCCCGGGGAAGGGGTCCAGACCTCTCGGGGTCGGCATTGTGGACAGATCGGTGTAGGACTCCTGGGAAAGAGGATGGGAGGGATGAGGAAGATGGGAAGAGGTGGACGAAAGGGGGGGAAGAACAAAAGGGGGACGATGTGTGGACGAGGAGGAGGAGGGTGAGGACAGAGGAGGGGGGAAGATGGAGGAGGGCGAGGAGTGTGAGACCTCCCTCCGCCTGTCTCCGTTCCCGCCCCCCGTAAGGGAACGATGAGGGTAGACATAAAGACAGGAGTTCGAGGATGATCAGGGGGAGCAGCATGATGATGCTGGTGGTGTTGCTGGTGATGATGATGCTGATGCGGATGAGGATAATGACGATAATGGTGCTGCTGGTGATGATGATGCTGATAATGATGATGCTGATATTGACCAACGGTTATGGTGATGCTGCTGCTGATGATGATGGTAATGATGGTACAGGGGCACAACGGGACGCCGTGACCAGAGGATCTGGGCCAAGGATCCCAATGGTGATGGCGATGGTGATAACCATGATAATGGTATTGATATCGACAACGATGCTGCTAATGATGATGATGATGATGATGATGATGATGATGATGATGATGATGATGATGATGGCGATGATGATGACGATGGTGGTGATGATGACGACGATGATGATAATGGTGCTGATGATGGTGATGATGATGAGGATGGTGCTGATGATAATAGTAATGATGGTGATGATGATGGTGGTGAGGATGATAATACTAATGATGATTCAAGGGTGCGACGAGACGCCGTGGCCAGATGATATGGGCCAAACATCCAAAATGAGATGGGTCAGATGAGACGGGCCAAAGATCCAATGAAGGACGCCGCACGCCGTGCATCATACCTATTTTGAACGCGTTTCTTGAAGACATGTTGCCTGCAGGGTTTCTGCCAGAGCATCGTGCATGTTTCGGATTGACGGGGCAGCTGGTCTCATATTTGTCTTTGGGCGCCGATGGCGTTGTGAGGCACATCCCCATAATTAAAAAGTTAACCGACGCTCACGCCCAACTATATGTATAGCTTTATCCAGACCAGGTGCGGCCGAAGCTCCACCAAACGTTGCACATCGTAAATAACAAGATCGCTTAAAACACAGTGCTGCCGTGTTTCGTGTTAGAACGTAGACACCGAAATACCAACACATGCAACTAAACACACGTGCCGTTACATAGAACACGCCGTGTCGGTCGACATGGTGAACCGTCAATGCACCAAACTCTCTGGAAATGAATATCCTTTCATGGGCGGTTGATTGATAGATCCGTGTGGTGTGGCCACTGGTTCAGGATCCTTCTTCAACACTATCGGTGCCACGCTGCCTGTGGGGATCCTACAAAAAGTGACCTGTTGTTTTTCAGGGACAGGGCCGTGGGAACGCTCGGCGTTTGTTTCGGATTGCGTGGGCTCCAATCATATTGTGTGTAAGCTGCAGGTGTTTTCAGCCGTGGGCAACCGCAGGTGGCTCGAGACCATTGCCCAATTGCTTCTGGATTGCTGCGATGTCGTGGCAGCGTGCACGCGAGCGCCCAGGCGTTGTGCGTGTGGTGGTTCTAATGTTGTATCGTTGATGGCGCCAATAATCGCATACATCGATTCGCGAATCGGCGTACTTGTCGATCGTCGATCCCGTTGTAGGGAGCTGGGGAAGGACGGCAAGGATAAGGGTGATGAGGGGTCTCAGAGGGGCGAGGAGCACGACAACGACTGCGATTGCGATCGCGATGGGCACTCGGCAATGAGCGCGGCACAGCCGATTGCTGCGACAACAGCGCTAATGTTTTAACGCTTCGCACATCCCCGCCAGCCCATTCAGGAGCCCTGCCCGCGAGAACTGGCGGCAACAGGTTGGGGCTTTGGAGGCCGTCTTCGAGCTGCGGGGCTGTTTATTGGGGGATGTTCGGGTGTTCGCTTGGAGCTCTTTTGGGGCATCTTTTTAGCGTGCAAGAACGAGCTCTTTTGGGGCATCTTGGGTCCCTTTTGGGAGTCTGTGGGCGGTCTGGTCCTCTTGGGGGGCTCTTTTGGGGCGCCTTGAGGCCCTCGCCTCCTCCCTCTCCTCGCCCTCCACGTCGCCCCCCCCCCCCAACCTGCCCCCCTCCCCCCTCCCTCTCGCCACGTTTCCCCCTCTCCTCGCATGTCGCACGCGGGGCCATCACTTATCCTCGTCGTCCCGTCTTCCCGTCCCCCCCCCCCCCCTTCTCTCCTCCCTACATACATACAAGGCAGATGAAACGGCAATCCATTCCAAGAGCGAATTCCGCAACCCCTAAAGGGGTGAAAGGAAGTGCGAAAAGGGGCGATCGGCTCAGAGCCCGAAAGGCGGGTGCTGGGCTAACCCTGTCGAGACCCGCCACGGCTTCGAGAACCGAACCCCTTTGGGATATGGAAGCTTGCAACTGCGACGCATTCTGAGCTGGGCAATCTTGTGGGCCGTGCACGGACACGACAGATGGTTCGCGCGACCAGCGGGGTACGACCCACAACGATTGCAGACCAGGACTGCCGTGCCAGCTGCATCCAGGCGTCCTGCCCACGGATCATGGGCGGGCTCCAGCGGGGCTGCTTGGGTGAGGACAGCGTGCAAAGAGGACGGCAGCGGGGTGCAGGGTCCGCGGCGGTACGGGTGCGGGTTGGCAGTCGCCCTCCCACAGTCAACGCACTGCCATCTGTTGAGGGTCCACTTGAAACGATGACGGGTGGGCCCTAACGTGGAAATCTCGAGCGGAGAGGGGTAGCTGCGCCATGCGCAACTGCTGCACAATCTTGAATGACACGGGCTGGCTCAGCGTCATGGTCGATATGAAAATGTGCCGTACCATGGAGCAGACCATGAGGCTCTGACATGTTGGCGTTACAGGGGACGTAGGAGGGGAGGACGCCTCGGACGGCCCTCCTCCTCCTTCTCCGTTTCCTCCTCCTTTTCGACCCCAACTCTCCCCCCCCCTCTCCTCCTCCTCCTCCTCCTCCTCCTCCTCCTCCTCCTCCTCCTCCTCCTCCTCCTCCTCCTCTCCCCCCCCTCTCCTCCTCCCTCCTCCTCCTCCTCCTCCTCCTCCTCCTCCTCCTCCTCCTCCTCCTCCTCCTCCGCATCCTCCTCCATGCGCGGTTTGGTCATCATGTTGGCCAATCTTTGCCGTGTGAGTTTGGTTGTACTATTGCCAGTGGCTCATGCGTCCATGCACAGCGTAATGATGCCATCTGTTATGGCGTCAGTTCCAGTTTGTTGGTGTTTCGCGGCGATGCAGGACCGAACATCATTTTGAACGTCGCAAACGCACGCGTAGCATATGCTTTTAACGCAATCATTACGTAACCGTCGTAGTACGCGAGTAGACTTGCGCAAAACAAACATATGTGTAGACATGCATCGCGTGCAGCTGTATACCGCCAGCGCATTCGCTCACACAAATACAATCTATGTCCTGCGCCAAACGTATATATGGGGACACATGTGTTAGATTGCGGTCGCCATATCATGCTAAATACCACTCCTGCCCTCAACGGAGTAGCCAGGATCGGTGCTCAGCAAAGGAGGTGAACTCCGACAAGTGAGGTAGCTAACTCCGTAAACTAAATCCTGAACTGCGTTATCTCAACTATCGTTTTGCTACGCTTATGGAAGGTGCTGCGACTTGCAAACTTAATTCCTTCTTACGTGTCATTGATACGGATGTACCATATCTCAGCTGCTACCAGAGGATGTTTAGTTGCGAACTAGATGTGGGATCATTGACTACCTACTTTTACCCCTTGCAACTTACTTTTGATTGTTTGAAGTTCGTTGCATCTCACATGCTGGTGAATTCCAACAGTTATTGAAAACTACATGCAGTTAAAGCACGAGCGTCAAGGCGGTGAGAGCGTTCTGGAGCGCTCTGGAACGATTTCGTCCTGTCGCCAACTGTCAATCCCGACTCGTCTCAGACGTGACGCTCTCCCCGACGGGAGGAGGTGGAACCCCTGCCCCTTTCCTCCTCCATCCCTTTTCCTTGTAAGCAGCCCCTCCCTGTCGCACCTTCAAACTTGTCGGTAGGGCGGGCCGGGCGCTTCGCCTGAGATCTCCTCACGTCTTCTGGCCCTGACGCTTGACATCTGCGACGGCTTCTTGGAAGGCGTTCCTTTTCAAAATGTGGCTCTGGCCTTTGCGCCGTGAGTGCGGTTCTTTTTCAAAACGTGGCTCTCGCCTTTCTGCCGCACAACTGCGTCTCACAAGTTAGCAGCAGTTTCAAGGATTCGTCTGGTGGAAAGCCCAGGAATGGTGCTCTGGCACAGTTTGGGCCCGTCGGGGCGCAACAGTCACGCTGACTCGCGGTGTTGAAGTCCTACGAATGGTGCCCTGACGCGATTGAGGATCGTCAGGTCGCGACAGCGTTGGTTCGCGGCGTTGAATTCCCAGGAAAGGTGCTTTGCCCCAAGCGCTTGGATTCTCAAGCGGTTGTCTTCCAACGGGGCACTTCCAGCAATAAATCATGCACTATTGCAGGGAACTTGCAGTGAGGGCTGCTGGCAACATCGCCGACGCGTCTTGGGCTTATACTGGTCCTCCTCCTTCAGGAGGCTAGCCTGCACTGTTTTCCTCATCTCATGCAGGAAGGCAACGAGGAGGGCAACGAGGAGGGCAACGAGGAAGGGGGTGAGAAGGAGGAGGGAGAGGAAAACGAGGAAGAGGAGGAAGAAGAGGCGGGGGAGGAGGAGGAGGAGGAGGAGGAAGAAGAAGAAGAAGACGAGGAGGAGGAGGAGGAAAAGGAGGAGGAGGTAAGGCGTCGGGGGGGCATTCCCCCTCCTCGAGGACCCCTCGCGCTCGCGCCGCCGCGCGGCGGCGCCTCATGGCCGCTCGGCAGCCGCCGCGCGGGCGCCACAGGCCCCCACGGCGGCGGCGCGTGGGGGCCCCAGGGCGGCTGCCGCGGACCGGGCAGCAGCTGGCCCTG